CCAAACCCATCCTATTTAAGACCGATTTTGATGCTAAAATCCCCATGACAAATCTGTACACCAATTCACGAACCCTTGGTGCCAACTTAAGTTTACAAAATCCTTCCCATATTTCCCCCCAATTATACAGCGGAAAAACGGACAATCCCTGTACAATTTCCCTACGACAACATATGCTGACCATTTGCCCCACCCGGATCAGTTGCGCATTTCTCAACTTTAACAACAAACGCAGCATGTCCTCACACTCGATTAATCCCCTGCCGCTCCACCATTTACGCATTTCGATCATTACCCGACCCACCCGGATGCCCTTCTCACCGCCCGCCCTGAGGAACCGCTGCTTTACATAGAGGGCCTTCACCCGTGGCCCCAAAGCCAAGAGACCTAAACCCCCACAACGAACATGGGTCATGACAACCTCCCGACTTAACCAAGCTCTCCCGAAACCCCAAACATAATGTAAGACCTTTCTCTGCAGTTCCTGAATATCCATATCTCTTAAAGGGTACACCTCAGCCACACCCCATACCTTACTATAAACAAGTGTATTAACCACTACTGTCCTCTGTTGCAACGAGACATCCCCAGCTCTTAACCCCCGAAGTCGATCTAAGCCTTGTTAATCACCAATTCAGAGTTTACCCATTGGCTCTCCCTCTCATCTGCCATGTACACGATACCACATATTCTAAGTTGCACCACGACTGACCACCCATACCTTTCGCCCAACCTCCCCCCACCCATGTACCCACCTCCAATAATTTCGATTTTGCCTTATTGACGCACATGCCAGACTCTGCCCAAAAAAACTCAACAATCCATCCCACGATCTGCAAATCCTCCTCCCCTTTTAACAAAATCGTGGTATCATCTACGTACCCGACCACACGCGCTGCATGGTCACTGCTCAGCGTTCCACGCCTCAAACCACCATCCACCAGCTCATAAAAGGGGTTTTGCATACAAGCAAAAAGCAGCTGGGAGAGGGGGCACCCTTGCCTCAAACCCTTTCCATACGGGGCAGGCTGCCCCAATTTACCGTTTACCTGTACGTGTACCATAGCCGAGACATACAAGGTATCACCCCATCTTACAATCCCCTCTCCAAAACCCTGCTTCAATAAAATAAGCCTCAATAAATCTCTATCAACACAGTCATAAGCATTTTGCCAGTCAAGCCTGAGGACACCCCCCCCTTGACATTCCTCCCAAAACTCCCTAATACGTACATGTCCGTCCCTCATGCTCCTACCTGGTATGCCTAGCTGTCCCTCGTGAATAACCGACCCTATAACCTTCCTCATTCTGTTTCCTAAAACTTTTGCAAAGATTTTATAGTCCGAGCACATAAGAGATATTGCTCTATATGCACTCAGACCCCTCCTCCCTCCCTTTTTGGGCACCAACACAACTACCCCCATACTTTGTGACATACCTAACCTCCCCTCTGTGAGCATGCAATTTAATACATGAACCAAACAATGCTTAATACTTCCCCAATGCGCCCTATAAAAATCATTCGAAATGCCATCTATACCTGGTGCCTTTCCTGTACTCATACTAAAAATCGCCTCCTCTACCTCCTCCACTCGAATTCTACCTTCTAGTACCGTTCTATCCCTGTCACTTATAACTTTTCTGAAATTCCTCCTCACCAGGCCACCCGCATGGAACCCCCCTACTCCCCGCCGTAGCTTTTCCCCAAACCATAGATCAGCATAAAAACTCATGCTGTCCGTGGTGAGGAGTACTTGACCCGGGAGGGTAACCCCCCAAACCCGTGCATACTTCCAATTGCAAGAGGGACGTCGCCTGTTGTCTGACCCTAAATTTGCGCAAGACACAACCCGAAGGTTTGTCACCCCATAGCACTTCTTCCATACCTGCTCTGACTCTAACCGCATTGAAACGTTCATTGTGAATTTCTGCAAGTCGACTACGAAGATGTTCAATGTCGTCATACCTACTACTCCCACCCCCCACATAGTAATCATTTAGCTGCCCCTCCAGATAGTTTTGCAGCCCATACCTCCACCTCGCCTCCTCTTTTCCCCGCTTCTTATAACTCGCTATTCCGGGTTTGGCACGCGTTTCCCACCATTCAAACAAACATTCACCTGCCCGTCGCGTTTCCCAAATATTCTTCCACCAGTCCTGAAAAGCGGACCCATCCCCCTCCCCCTCCAATAGCTGCACGTTCAGTTTCCAATAACCTGGATAAACCCTGATCATTCCATCCCAGTTCAAGTCTGCTAGCACTGCACGGTGATCTGAAAACCCCACGTCAAAGGTCTGTACGTGCCCAACTCTAATTCCTTGTGTTACATAAAGTCTATCCAGACGGGCCGCATAGCCCCTGCGAACGAACGTGTGCTCCATCCCCCACCCACCCTGCCCCACCACATCATAAACCCCTGCATCCCCCAGCAGATTCCGTAAGACAGGTAAAACGCACCCCGCCCCCCTCGGCTCAACATTGCCATGGCAGATAACGCAATTCCAATCCCCACCCATGACGGTAATGAACGGCAAACCCCGAGTATAAAACGTTAAAGCCTCCCTCACAAATTCTATTTTAACTTTAGTGTTGCTTTCCGCAGGCATGTAAACGCCAATAAAACAAACCCTCACCTCACCCCAGTACCCATCTACCCTCACCACCCTCCCACCTCCCCCCTCCTCCCATCTCAAGACACGCCAAGGGCTGGACTCCTTCACCGCTATAGCTACCCCACCCTTCAATTTTAAAGAACTGCTAACATACATTCGGTAGCCTTTTAACCGTAACTCTCGCCCAAACTTATAATTGTGTTCTTGTATGAAACATACGTCCACAGCATACCTGCGCAAGAACCACTCCATCCACACACACTTAAACTCTGCCCGCAGGCCATTTACATTGATGGTAACACACTTGAATTCACAAAAGGAGGTTTTCTTCTATGTTTGTGGGTCTTTCCCGTTCCCACACGTACATTACACTGACCTTCTTTGACCTTTGACCTCCCAAGGCCCCCTCACCTCCCCGTGCCCTACCCATATGCTGGGCGCTTGCCACAACCCCGTCTTCAAGAGGCGCCTCAGCCACTTTCGACCATAATTTCTTCCCTGGACGCTGTCCCGGTGTCAGGACCTCGTCCATATCCGACACTCCTGCCGTCCGTTTGCGGGAACCACCTTCCACACACATCTCCTCACCAGATGAAGCCTCCTGGTGGACTTCCACCACCACCTCATGCAACCGTGTCATTGTAGTCACGTCCAGGTCTCCCATATTTGGCGAATCATCCTTCACCACTTCTTGACACTCCGGTGGAACGTCTGGGCTATGCTCTGCCCCAGCCAGGAGATCGTTTAGCACGTTCTCCAGCAAACTTTCCTGTGACAACTCCACAGGCTCCGTAGGCCCCACAGGTGGCGTGGGCACGTTTGTAGTGTCCACCGACAGGGTGGCACACGCCATAGACCGCATCTCCTCTTGTTGTACTTCCTCACTCCAAAGCTTAGGTCCTTGTTCAGGCGAAGGACCAGTCTCCAGATCAAAGGCCTCGGTTCTTAGGACCACAGGAGAAGGTTCCCGGATGCGTACAACCAGGCGTCTGGAGCACTGAGCAGCCATATGGTCATACGAGTTGCATAACCTGCATGTCTTACGTTGGCCTGCATAGTGAACAAAAACTTGGGTCCTGTAGTGTTCTAGATGAACGTAAGATGGAATCGGCTGTTTTAATGTCATCTTGAGGGTGCAGGAGTCTTCCGGGAGCCCCTCGTATGGGCCCTCCCTCCACACTCCCTTGGTCGCTGCATGTACCGTGCCGTATTTACCAAAAACTTTCCGAATAACATACTCCTCCGCCTCGAAAGGCACGTTCCTTACTTTGACCCAGGTGACGTATGTGGAGACGTCATGCAGGCATACCTCTACGGCTGAATTCACCGCCATTTTCCTCTCTTGAAAAGCTTCCACAATCTTGGAGTAAAAGCCAGCATTTGCGAATTTTACAAAAAACCTCGACATCCCATTGAGAGCCACACCATATAATTCCTCAGTGGGGATGCCGCAGACGTCGTGAATAATGGTAGGCAAGAAGACATGCATCGTTGCACCATTGAGAGAGCCACGAATGAATTCAACACAGACCGTGTTTACTCTTCTACCCTGACGATCCGCCATCTTGCGTACTGTAGTACACGGTTCGCCACCAGGTGTAAGCAGGAGCAGGCTCAGAAAGCGTCCTCTCAGCCCGCAGATTGAGAGACGAATGATTTCCTGGAAATTAGGTCAGTTTTGTCCCAGGATGCGACTCACACCAGTCGACTAACACCCAGGTACCTATTTTACTGCTAGGTGGACATGGACAGCAGGTGTCTTAAGGAAATACGTTCCAATGTTTCCACCCGTACCGGGGATCGAACCACGGTACGGGTATGTGAGCTGAGTGCATTACCAACCCACCTTATATACTGAGGTTTAGTTGTCAAGATGACCCCTGCAACCACAAATAGGTGAGTACACACACACACACACACACACACACAGAAGAGGCAAGATCCATACACAGCTTTAAGAAGAGGTATGATAAGGCTCTTGGAGAAGGGAGAGAATGGACTTAGTAGCGACCAGCGAAAAGGCGAGTCCAGCTGTGAATCGACCCCTACAACCACAATTAGGTGAGTACAGTTGAGTACACACACACACACACACACACACACACACACACACACACACACACACACACACACACACACACACACACACACACACACAAAATACTTCTATTTCGATGTTTTTTTTTTTTCGGGGGGAAGTGGTATTAAATCTTCCTTAACTAGTAAGGTAGAGGGGACACAATGTTAATAACCCTCGTGGTGTTGATAGGCTTGAAACCTAACAAATTAACCAACGCCCAGGCAAATAATTGAACAGTGGGGAGGGAGGGAGGGAGGTGTTGGTTGATGGGGGTGAGGGTGTGTGTGTGTCTATGAGGTCATGTTGGTGGGGTCAGACAATCAGTTGTGCTCTGACCTCCTCACACTCACATAAACCCACCTGCAGTACTCTGTGTCTGGTATAAGTGTCCACGTCTGGGAGGACGGTGTAGGTGTGGTGGTGTTCTGCTGCCACGTCTGTGGTCGGCAACATGGTAAATTTCTTTGTTAGCGTTATGGGTTAGGACGGAAGGTCCTTCCTTGAAGAGTGATCCACTTTATAGAATATCGTTATTGAAGATATAAGCCACTGACTGGCTTGTATATATCTTGGCTAGTGTCTAATTTAACCCCAAATTTCACTTACTGCCACGATCACAAGTGCAAAGAAAATGATAGGATGGATAATGAGAACGTTCAAAACAGAGATGCCAAGCCATTGATGATCCTTTTCAAATCACTTGCTCTTGCTAGGCTGGAATACTGCTGTACATTAACATCTCCATTCAAAGCAAGTGAAACTGCAGATTTAGTGTACAAATATCCCTTACTGCACATATTTGTCAAGCACCTTAACTACTGGGAACGATTGGAAACGCTTGACTTTACTCGTTGGAACGCAGGAGGGAGAGATATATCATAATCTACACTTGAAAAATTCTGGAAGGAATGGTCCCGAATCTGCACACAGAAATCCCTCCCTACGAAAGTAAGACTGAGCAGGCGATGCTAAATACCCCCTATTAAAAGTAGGGGCGCCATTGGTACACCAAGAGAAAACACCATAAGCGTCCGGGGCCCAACACTATTCGACAGCCTCCCATCAAGCAATGGGGGAATTGCCAATAAACCCCTGGCTGCCTTCAAGAGCTGGACAGATACCTAGTCAGTGCCGGATCAACCGGGCTGTGGCTCGTACGTTGGACTGCGTGCGGCCAGCAGTAACAACCTGGTTGATCAGGCCCTGATCCACCGGGAGGCCTGGTCATGGATGGGGCCTGTAGATCCCTGAAACAACCTGCAGGTAGTATTTCCCCCTGCTTTTCTTAAACATACCTCCCTTGATTAATATTTAATTTGGACCACTGTTTAGTAGCGGTAAATGTACTAAGACCTGTAGCGATCTTATTACTTGCTTATTACCTGGAGAGTTCTGGGGGTCAACGACCCCGCGCCCCGGTCTGACCAGGCATCATAGTGAATCAGGGCTTGATCAACCAAACTGTTAATGCTGGTTGCACGCAATCCAACGTACGAGCCACAGCCCGGCTGGTCAGGTACCGGCCTGTCCAGTGCCTGCTTGAAGATAACCACGTGTCCATAAGTAATCCCCCTTATGTATGCTGGGAGGCTGTAACAGTCTGTTAAACATACTGTTGCCATTAAAGTAGGGAAACCGCTTTCATTGGGGGGGGGGGGGGGAAGGAACACGTTGCATCATCTGCCAAGTCTCTTGCTTTCGTAGGGAGTGATTTTTCGTGCGCAAGTTCGGTATAAGTCCCTCTAGGATTTTCCGGTGTATATAATCTTGTATCTCTCCCGCCTGCGCTCCAGGGAGTACAGCTTCAATAACTTCAAGCGCTCCCAGTAATGGAGATGTTTTATCTCCAGTATGTGCACCGTGAAGGTTCTCTATACATTTTAAGTTGGCAATTTCACCTGCCTTGAAAGTTGTTAGTGTACATCAATATTCCAGCATAGATAGAACAAGCAGTTATTGTATATACAGTTAAGTATTTAGTAAATCAGAATTCTATACATAAACACCACCTCTTAAAATTGTGGTTGACTATTTAAGACGCGCGCACACTTTATCTGCCTCATTAAATTTCTTATCCCACTTACTGGAAATTCCTTTATCTTCAGATTAATAATATAAAGATCCTCGCATGGTAATCGCCTACTGATAACTCTTAATTACCTTAAAGAAATCTGAATGTTCAGTAAATTAACCTTTTTAAATTCTTAAACCCACTGACTTCTTGTTTTAAAACCTCTAATAATTAAACTCCTATAAGTCCCGTACTGCCTAATAACGCTTAAAATATCCCTCCACAAATTGTGAATTCGTTTGCTTTGCAAATTTTAGTTACCAAGGTAAAAGCTGTACGTGATACCACTTCATGGCTTTCTCCCTTAGTAGTTAACTAAATCTCTCTACGAACAATTATTTTAAGTTCTTTGATGATAATGTACGTTTCAACAGCACTATACTCGTCCCATGACAAACAATTTAAAGTATTGTACGTACTTGTTTGCAGGTACGAACGTTATACACTAATTTCTTCTTGTGGGTAATAACCAAGGTGTTGGCACAAGTACAGCAACCCCATTATGCGTGTCCAGTCTCGTCTTGGTGCATACCTACACTCTACTGTGAACCTCGCCAGATAGTTTTTAGTATTACACCAAAACCACTGACCACTCTGTACCATCCTCTCCAGTCTCGGACACCAACTACATCACAGACGACAAATTTAAGGTAACATGCCCTTAAACTGCCAAAACCCCTTTGTTTCCTGAAGAATTAATGTCCTAATATCAACAAAATTTTTATCTTCAGTGCTTTAACGTTATGGCACATCTCGTACAGTGTTTTAAGTATCTGCTATTCTTCAGTATTTGTGCGGGTTGACGTTGGATAGTGAAGGGACAGTGTGTTGTCGTAACCTCACATTGCTGCCAGAAACATTTAACCCCACGCCAACCCACTGGTTTTATCTATCTGTGAGTACATTTTTTTTTTTCTCCTGTTTTGGTATCTTGGACATTAAACTTTGGTAGCCATTATGCAAAATTTCAAGAGCTCAACATTACTTGGAAATTTCAAAATCTGTTTATCCTACAGAACATTTAACTTCGTCTATTAAGACTGGTAACAGACTATCCTATAATGCAAAATATTGCTCAACGCTACACTTTAAGTGTACAGTGTTTTTTTAATATATTTATAGATGGGGTTGTAAGAAGTAAATGCGAGGGTCTTGGCAAGAGGCGTGGAATTAAAAGATAAAGAATCACACATAAAGTGGGAGTTGTCACAGTTGCTCTTTGCTGATGACACTGTGCTCTTGGGAGATTCTGAAGAGAAGTTGCAGAGATTGGTGGATGAATTTGGTAGGGTATGCAAAAGAAGAAAATTGAAAGTGAATACAGGAAAGAGTAAGGTTATGAGGATAAAAAGATTAGATGATGAAAGATTGGCATCAGATTCGAGGGAGAGAGTATGGAGGAGGTGAATGTATTCGGATATTTAGGAGTGGACGTGTAAGCGGATGGGTCTATGAAAGATGAGGTGAATCATAGAATTGATGAGGGGGGAAAAGGGTGAGTGGTGCACTTAGGAGTCTGTGGAAACGAAGAACTTTGTCCTTGGAGGCAAAGAGGGGAATGTATGAGTATAGTTTTACCAACGCTCTTATATGGGTGTGAAGCATGGGTGATGAATGTTGCAGCGAGGAGAAGGCTGGAGGCAGTGGAGATGTCATGTCTGAGAGTAATGTGTGGTGTGAATATAATGCAGAGAACTCGTAGTTTGGAAGTTAGGAGGTGCGGGATTACCAAAACTGTTGTCCAGAGGGCTGAGGAAGGGTTGTTGAGGTGGTTTGGACATGTAGACAGAATGGAGCGAAACAGAATAACTTCAAGAGTGTATCAGTCTGTAGTGGAAGGAAGGCTGGGTAGGGGTCGGCCTAGGTAAGGTTGGAGGGAGGGGGTAAAGGAGGTTTTGTGTGCGAGGGGCTTGGACTTCCAGCAGGCATGCGTGAGCGTGTTCGATAGGAGTGAATGGAGACAAATGGTTTTTAATACTTTGTGCTGTTTGAGTGTGAGCAAAGTAACATTTATGAAGGGATTCAGGGAAACCGGCAGGCCGGACTTGAGTCCTGGAGATGGGAAGTACAGTGCCTGCACTCTGAAGGACGGGTGTTAATGTTGCAGTTTAAAAACTGTAGTGCAAAGCACCCTTCTGGCAAGACAGTGATGGAGTGAATGATGGTGAAAGTTTTTCTTTTTAGAGCCACCCTGCCTTGGTGGGAATCGGCCAGTGTGATAATAATAATAAAAAAAAAAAAACTTTAAATTGGGCATACACAACCTGATGTAAACACCTAACCTCTTTATTAACTTCTCAAATGAATTGGCTCACTGCTAGTCTTCAAGCACAACCTTAAATTCAACCATGTTACACTATCCTTTTTCGAATCTCATTCCCACTAGCCTTTACTTCTAATTTCAACACTTCTCTTTTTTTTTTTTTATTAAAAAAGTTTTACTACCTCTCCCTAGTTCATTATTGTCCTGAACAGTTGACTTACATATATTAGAAATAGCTTACATGACCAACCTAGAATACTTTACCTAATTTTTCATTTTAGTTCTAAGAAATTCTTCTACAGAATTCTAGTGTAGACCGTCTACACGTGTTGGTGACACCGTGGCCTGGATATGAAGATAATAATGTCATACTTGACATGGGTCCCAAGCAGCCTGCCTACTGTCCTCCCTCCAGCCTGTGTGCTCCTGCTAGTGTGTGCCCGTCTACCAGCATCACCTACACTGCTGCTATCTTCTCAAAAGCTTCAGATAAAAATGTTAGTCTGTAATGGTTCACTACCATAACTTAAATACGAAATAAGTTTGACTTATATTTTCAGGTATGAAAAAAAATTTAGGTACGCAAGAAAATTCTCAAACTACCACTGATAATAGATAACCAATTTATCTATCGTGGGATAGATTATTGTAAACGCGTCACTTAAAGTTAGTATTAGACTTTACATCAAGTTTAATACCCTTATCCTTTAAGGAAACTTACTAACGAATAAAAATTAACATTTTCTTTTGGTTTTCAGTACATGTGTGGTCAGACTTGGGATACAGACACGTGGTCCTGCTGTTCCCTACACACAGTAGTGGACGCCATCACATCTTACCAACACCTCCAGCAAGCCTCGGCTCGCGCGCCTCAACATGATCAAGGGATGATAGGCTTTAAGAAAAATTTCCGTCCAGTCTTAATTTAAATTACTGAATTAGTTCTTATTGGCTAAATTTCCTTAAGGCTTCGTAATTTTTTTTTTTTTACTTCGAATAAATTTTTTTTTTAATTTTTCTCTGGACCACTCCCCCCTGGAGTTTACCTGGACCGAGTTTCGGGGGTCAACGCCCCCGCGGCCCGGTCTGTGACCAGGCCCCGTGGACATCACCCTGACAACCAGCTGTTGCGCCGCAAACAACGTAAGGAGCACAGCCGCTGATCAGAAATGCTTTAGGTGCTTGTCCATGCAGCTTGAAACTGCCATGGGTCTTTGTTAACTCCCCTTTGTGTGTGAGGCATTGAACATCATCGGTCCCTGACACTTTTGTATGTCCTTAACGTTTATCTACCACAAGCTTTAAGTTAGTGAAAATTTCCTTGCGTTATAATCCTGGACTTTACCTTAAAGCAAAAGAAATGAGAGGTAAATTATAAATAATTGACAGGAGGAACTCTCGCTCGCCTCTTAAGTGATAAAAACTTAATATTCCACTTGGTACTAAAATATTTTATTCGCATATAATCGGAAGTTTTCCTCAAATGGACATAAGGAAGTTAAGATTTTAATTATATGTAGTCCTTAACCTACCGAAGTTTAAGTTTTGGATATTCATTTTGACAAAAAAAAAAAAATAAACCACGTTATAACTACATTAAAATTTACTCTTAACTATAATTTCACCTTCCCTCTATTCCTTCTAATTTGCATTTCTCTGGGAACTGTTCTCAAAACCATCGTAGACTTAAATTATCAGTAAGTTTTTTTTTTTTTATCACTAATCTACCAACCTTTCCCAACAGATGCGATAATTAACATCAACTTCGACCACCAAATACAAAACAAAGCCTCGGGTGTTGAGGTCTTCAGACACAGGCTGACCAACACTCTACCTGACCACAACACAAACTCCATCGTAATTCCTCTCCTACCAGACTATTTTGATGGTAAATGATGGTCTTGTCTAGCGAATCTAAGCCCTAATGGCTTTACTTTCTTGTAAGATAATATCTAGGGAACAAAATTTTTCTCATAGTATTCCACACTTTTTCAGATGAACATGCACGGGAATTATCCGATCAGTATATCTTAACTGCTAAATACACTGTTACAGATAGACAAAAGAGAAGTATAAATGCTGGTAAGTTGAACACTATTAGTTTTCTGAATGTCTTAATGGTTTTCCCCCCCCCCCCCTTAGTTAAGTGATCCAAATGCTTGTATTTTCATCTTACAGACGAAAGTGATGCTGCAGGTGTTGGTAGTTACGCAGCCTCTGCTCTCTCCGCTAATGGTAAGACAATCAACTCCATACTTTTTTTTTTTCCGTACCTCTAACTGGAGATTGGTAACTCTTCATAATTATTTCCTCAGGCACGACGTTTACGGTGACTCCAGGTATTAGCCTGAGCTCTCTGCTTCGTTCTGCTGACGGTACTCCAGCATCACCTGTAAGTCGAAACTAAAACGAGTCATGGGTACTTCCATGCATGAAGGAGTTAATATCTCGGAAAGTCTGACATAACCTTGTATTAAAGTTGTCTTTAATATATAAAATCATGATTTAGTGTAATTTTTTTTAATTTCCAGGTGCAACTAGGATGTGGGAGATCATTACCAGCATCCCAGCATACTGGTAGAGCTTTAGGCAGTGATGCTGCATCTGCTAAAGAGGGTCAATACCCCTGGCATGTGAGTACCCTACGTTACATTATAAATCAGATGCTAAACCCATAAGACCCTCTCATTATCCCTGTACATCGCATTTCAAATGAACCTTAACTAGCGTGGTTTACTCGTCCTGGTTTACATTCCCCCCCCTCTTCCCCAAATTTACTGTCATTTTTATATTGAATGACTAGTCATATTCATAAAGCTGAAGAGTGAAACTTAATTTGATTTTGCAGGTTGCTATCGTGACTCCTAAGCTGTCTTACTTGTGTGGTGGCGTGATAGTAGCTGACAGACATGTCCTCACTGTCGCCCACTGTGTTAAACATGCAAGTTAACTTCGTCAAACTGGTTTATATTTCATTATCTTGTAAATACGCATAAAGATCATATTTCGTAATAAGTTTAATTACTAGCCTGAATTTTCTTATTCCGGGAATAATGGAACTAAAATACGGCCCGCATCTCAGCCCCTTGTTCATCTGGATGACTCCTTGTATACATGGTGGTTAGGCCTAGTTGCCAAAGGCTCGAGATAATCGGTTCTCTTAAATTTCAGCTTGGCTAGGGTTAACGTGCCTAAGTAAACTACTTAAACTGGTAATACAACTGCTCTTAACACTTCAAACAGCTGACTGCTAAAGATACCATTGTCCGCCTTGGTGATTACGACCTGTCGACGGACGCAGAGAGCAACCCTTCCTACGACGTCGCTGTTAGGAAGATTACTTGCCATCCAGGTAAATATTAGACCCTCAATACTTCCCGTGAAACTTAAAATTGGATCAAAAATAAAATTTTGCAATCGGTTTTTGTGTAAATTTACTCTAGAGCTCAGAGCTCTTAACCAGGGTAAGGGTAGTTGAGAAACCCTTGTCAAAACTGAATGTTCACTAGCGACAAATCTTTGAAACTTGCGTTGATACTATGGGCTTAGGAGCATACTTTGATAAATCCTTCAGAAATAAACCTCCTTAACCACACAGTTTAAGGCTTACTTCCCACAATGAGCGTAAGATTTTTACAGGAACACTACTAACAATGCAAGTTTCTTTTCAGACTACGTACGTAAGACTTTGACAGCTGACCTGTGTGTACTAGAAGTGGAGTATTCAATGTTGCAGTTGTCTCACGTTGCAAGAGTATGTCTGCCAGGGCAGGTACCTCACTCTGATAAACAGGAATGCTACGTCCCTTCCTGGGGTTATGTCCAACCTGATAAGGTCAGCAACTCTACGTATTGAACACTCTTAAAGGCAGTAATTTTTGATACAAATCCAGTTAGCATTCGTCTTAAATCTTCCTTTTTTTCTATAAGGGATGTTTCATGCCGATTCACGTATAATCGCTTGCCAAATTGGCTCAATTTTTTTCTGAATTTAGCACACCACTGAATGTACAACTTCCCAAATCACATTAACAAATTCAAGATACCACTAAATATTGCATATGAAAACTAAAGCGGTTCTTACTTTTTTTTTTTTTTGGGGGGGGGGGGGGGGAAAACCGACTCTGCAATTCAGATGCATATTCATTACCATTGTGCAATAAGCTTCTGATTAAGCTGTCTATAAACCCCCACCCATCTCCTGGTCACTACCATTATAAATCCAGGAATGTTACACCACAGAAGTTCACCTTCCTAAACCAAGGAATCTGTTCAACCTCTTGTCCGGATAATTCATCTTTAACACCTATCCAGAATTCTTTTAGAATTTAAAGTTCAAAAGGACTCCAGACTAATAAAATCCTGGAACTCGTCCTAATAACTGCTGTGGTTTTTGAAATGTTTCCTTCAAATTCACTCATTACCTTTAAATTCTAAATCCCAAGTTTCTTAATCTGACAATGGAAGGTAAAGCAGTGTTGTAAACTGATATGGTAGTCTGACACAAGTTTCCTTTCACACCAGAACAGGTTATTCCAGATCGTATACACTGCTCTTTCATTCACCATTACAGAAACTAGTCAAGGTTTTAAATCTCCACCCAATCCTGATTTCCCCCCCCCCCCCCACCGTCTTCAACATCATAGTGTTTTTTTTTTTTTTTTTTTTTTTTTTTTTTTTTTTTTTTTTTTTTTTTTACAAACCCCTTTGGAAGCCCAAGACTTCTCCACTCACCACTCCAAAGTAGTCGCAATACCGTGACTGGAACAAAACAGAAATAACCCGGACATAGACCGGATCTTACAACGTTCCGATCTCGCTTAGACCATTTACAAAATCGGACCGGAACGTCGTCGTAAACTCCTGTGAGAGTTATTTGTGTACCACTATAAAATAAGCAACATAAGCTTGTTTTAATTTTGGCAGTGTATTCACCACAAATATAGCAAAATGCATATATTTTAATGTTACAATACTGTCACTGACAGATATTTGAATTCTCAAATATTAAGTAAAGTCTTGAAATTAATATCAGAATTATGGTTACTTAAATCTGCTAAAGTTGCCTGTTAAGGTAATCGACAAGATGAACCTAGAACCCATTTAAGAAAATCTGGTAATTTAGAATTCGGGAACACCAATATACCTCTAAAAAAAAAAAACTTCAAATTTAACCATTTCTTTAAAACTTAAACTAATTAGTCAAACCTTTACACCTACAGAGTGGAGTAGAGCACTTCAACACCTACACCAGCGTTTTAAAGGACGCCAGATACGTCATCATAGACGAATCTACATGCCAAAGACAGTTCAGAACTGTGAAAAGCCTTGGCTCTTTCTTTAAGCTATTACCCGGGTTTCTCTGCTGCAAAGGTATCCTTCAAACCGATACATGTCACGTGAGTATTTCCAGGGCTTAGTTCTCGCTTGTATTCTCATTTTTAATTTTTCCTATCACTTACTCCTGTTTCTTCAGGGTGATGGTGGCAGCGGACTGGTCTGCCGGACGTCAACGGGAGATTACGTATTACAAGGTAAAGAATTATCAAAAGACCTAAATTGCCTTTAACTTGGTCCATGTATTAAGAATTACAGTAATTTTAATGGTACAGAACACTCGGCCATGAACCATCTAATCTTCAGTTTAATTGGAATATTTATTCAAAACTGGAATATGAATTTCTAAATTGGTAATTTGTTTTACCAGGTTTAGTGTCGTGGAGTGTGGGTTGTGCTCATGGGCTACCCACCGCCTTCGTCGACGTGAATTACTACTTACCATTTATCTTGAATTCTTTGGCCACTTCTACGTATTCATCCGTGGGTTCTCAGCATCTTGGTACACAGACAGTGAGTCAAAATACTGGGTACGCTTACGTTGATCCTTACCTGACTGGCGTAGCCAAGGAAGGCGTGCAGGAAAACACGCAGACGCTCTTCCGTCCGCCTACTTCGTCTGGACAGCCGCCGCTGGCCGTCCGCAAGGAACAGACTATCACGTCTCCGCCGACCTCTGTCTACAAGGAAGACTCCCACACACCCTCTCCACCTGTGTACAAGAAGGAAGATTCCTACGCTCCCCCTGTGTACAAGGAAGATTCTTACGCACCCCCTCCCCCTGTGTACAAGGAAGATTCCTACGCTCCCCCTGTGTACAAGAAGGAAGATTCCTACGCTCCCCCTGTGTACAAGGAAGATTCTTACGCACCCCCTCCCCCTGTGTACAAGGAAGATTCCTACGCTCTCCCTGTGTACAAGGAAGATTCTTACGCACCCCCTCCCCTGTGTACAAGGAAGATTCTACGCACCCCTCCCCCTGTGTACAAGGAAGATTCCTACGCTCCCCCTGTGTACAAGAAGAAGATTCCTAGCTCCCCTGTGTACAAGGAAGATTCTTACGCACCCCTCCCCGTGTACAAGAAGGAAGATTCCTACGCTCTCCCTGTGTACAAGGAAGAATCCTATGCTCCCCCTGTGTACAAGGAAGATTCCTACGCTCCCCCCGTGTACAAGAAGGATAGCTCCCCTATCAGAACACCGCCTCCCCCTGTGTACAAGGAACATGCCCAAGCTCCCCCTGTGTACAAGGAAGATTCCTACGCTCCCCCTGTGTACAAGGAAGATTCCTACGCTCCCCCCGTATACAAGGAACATGCCCAAGCTCCCCCTGTGTACAAGGAACATGCCCAAGCTCCCCCTGTGTACAAGGAACATGCCCAAGCTCCCCCTGTGTACAAGGAACATGCCCAAGCTCCCCCTGTGTACAAGGAACACATGCCACAAAAAAGCTCCCCCCCCTGTGTACAAGGAACATGCCCAAGCTCCCCCTGTGTACAAGGAACATGCCCAAGCTCCCCCTGTGTACAAGGAAGAGAGCTACAAAACTAGCTATAAGCCACCTGGCTATCGGAGGGAAGACTACTACTTAACACCAGTCTATACTGGAGATAGCTATGGACCACCTAGCTACAAGGAAGATGCTTATGGACCTCTTGGCTATAAGGATGATAGCTATGCCTCTCCAAGTTATGATTTAGACGGCTATGGACCATTGAATTACAAGGAAGATAGCTATGGAAAACTAGGCTTGAAGGAAGACTATGGAAGATTAGGCTTAAAAGGAGAGTACTATGGAGAGTCTAGCTATGATAAGGGCTATGGAAAATTAAGCCTAGAAGAGAGATTCGACAAATATCCTTTAAAGGAAGGAGTCTATGAACCCTCTGGATATAGAGAAGACAAATATGTATTATCTGGCTATAAACCACCTAGCTATAAGGAAGATAAATATGAATTCTCTGGGTACAGGAAGGATGACAATAAAATATCTGGCGACAGGAAAGATTTCTTAAGTTTTCTATATTCTGGAAAGGATTATCAAGCAAATTATGGTACAGATGATGAATATAGTAACTCCAATGAAGGTGGACGGTATTACGTAGACAGGGAAGATTACCATACCGACAAGGCTTATAAAACAAGCTACGGTATTTCAGGCTACGACAGGAGGCTAGGCTATGGAAGTTACGAGGATGATTACTCTGAACCACAACACGATAAATATGGACATGATGCTGACTACGGTAGTTACGATAGATCAGACTCTTACACACACTACGATAATAGACCTAAGTTTGTGAAGGAGGGAAGTGTTGTGGGATATCTGAGGAAGCATGTTAAGCCCAAACTTAAGGAATAATTAGCAATGTAAGACCATAGTTATTTAATAAACAAAAATTATTTTTGTCTAATTCTTTTCTTTTCCTCAAGGCTGTACTAACGAAGAAAGTCTACTGGGTTAGTCTTAAATGGATCCTTACGGGTTTAGCTCTATAATTATTTGGTGCTCCAATTCTAAATTTCTCATCGTAATAAACCCCTCGTGGGAGGGTCCTTGATGGTTGGTCTCTTGATCTAGGGAATTAAATGTGCTCAAATACTGCTAAATGCCTACATCCACCCTCCCCTCCAAAGGTGCTCTCTAATCCCTACGGGTTAAGCTCTCCCCATGATCACCTCGTGGGAGGCTCTGAACCCTTGCGGGTTTAGAGCCTCCCGTCACGAGACAGCAGTGTTGTCTTTACTCTTGCACCTGGAACTCCTTCCTCGACCTCGTAGGCGGAGGATTACCTCGAGTCGAGGCCACCTCGAGGTCTCCATATCGGGGAGGGGCTCTAAGATACTGGAGCTATACTTCAACTTTTCTGGATGCTGAAGCATAAAAATGCACTGAACTAGACGATACACAACCCTAACTAATCTTGCATGTTGACTTGAAATTACTTAGGCTAATTCTTACAATAGATAAAATTTGTATTTTGCGGTAATATACAGTGAATTTAACAGCAGCAGCAGTGAGGTGGTGTACAGCAGTTGCCGGGGTATTTTTGGTTGATGGTTCACAGGTTGTCAACCTGTTTTGTTGCTATTAGGTGGTTATGATTTTCCACAATAGCCGCTGTCACACGCACAAGAGTCACAATGGCTAATCTTGTGCAGTGTCCAGCAGCTGCAGTGAAATTCCTCCCAGAAGGGTGGTTATCGAAGTGTCTTCTAGCAACACTCTTTTAGCACTCGCTAACGGGATTCCATTTCGAAAATCACTGTAAACACTGTCAGTTATGACCCACTTATTGATTTCACGTCACTTGTTAACACATTAGCCACGGTGTATTGGGTAGCGTACATGACTGAGCAATGCAAACCTGATTGACTAGTAACTACTAGGTATGTGTACTGTAAACGATTCTCCTATACAGTAAGCTTGTTAAACACGTAGGTGAAATATGGTAGATTACTTTCCACTACTACCTTTTGTATATGACTAAAGAAGCCTACTGTATAGGCTAAACTTTCCAACGAAAGCGCCCAACTGTTGCACAAGTCTTAACATGTCTGTATTTTATAACTTTCAACGGATTTAAATCAAAGTTCTGTAACTGTTCTCGGAGCCGTCCTTGTCTGATTCACTTCACATTACATTAAAGCAGTCTCATACATTACACTAACTGTTCACTGAATACATTAACAATGGTCAGAATACATAAATACATGGTATACATATCTATAAACACTACATGTGAGATAACTCGCATGGAATATAGACCACAATGTAAAATTTAACTGTTTAGTAATTCTTTTTATCACTTTATACAGTAATAAAATTAATACTGAAATGGTAAAAAATTTCCCATGTTACCCCCAAAATTTTTCCCATATATTCAAAAGTTTCTTAATTAACAATAGGCGACTTACTCTTTGAGAAATATATTTAAGTAACGTACAAAATGTGTTATAGAAATTTGGGGAAATTGGGTGATAAATAGGCTATAAAGCTGGACTCTGACCCTTGTGGGTTTAGAACAGTTTTGATAAAAGATTATAGGTTGAAAGCTCTTGATCCAAGGAAGCTGCTTAGTGTCCCTTTAACTCGAATCAAACTCCATTACCTCCCAGGCACAGGAACCCATAAAATTAAAACGCTCCCCCTGTGTACAAGATTCCTACGCTCCCCCTGTGTACAAGGAAGATTCCTACGCTCCCCCTGTTTACAAGGTTCCTACGCTCCCCCTGTGTACAAGATTCCTACGCTCCCCCTGTGTACAAGGAAGATTCCTACGCTCCCCCTCCCCCTGTGTACAATAAGGAAGTTTCCTAGCTTCCCCGTGTACAAGATTCCTACGCTCACCCCTGTGTACAAGGAAATTCCTACGCTCCCCTGTGTACAAATAGATTCCTGCGCACCCCCTCCCCTGTTTTACAAGGTTCCTACCTCCCCTGTGTACAAGGAAGATGCTTCCACCCCTCCCCTGTGTACAATAAGGAAGTTTCCTACGCTCCCCTGTGTACAAGATTCCTACGCTCCCCCTTGTACAAAGGAAGATTCCTACCTCCCCTGTGTACAAATAACCATCACTACGGCACCCCCTCCCGTCCCCTGTACAATAAGGAAGTTTCCTACGCTCCCCCTGTGTACAAGATTCCTACGCTCCCCCTGTGTACAAGGAAGATTCCTACGCTCCCCCTGTGTAACAGGACGTTTTCACCTACGCTCCCCCTGTGTACAAGAAGATTCCTACGCACCCCCTGTGTACAAGGAAGATTCCTACGCTCCCCCTGTGACAAGGAAGTTTCCTACGCTCCCCCTGTGTACAAGGAAGTTTCCTACGCTCCCCCTGTGTACAAGGAAGATTCCTACGCTCCCCCTGTGTACAAGGAAGTTTCCTACGCTCCCCCTGTGTACAAGGAAGATTCCTACGCTCCCCCTGTGTACAAGGAAGTTTCCTACGCTCCCCCTGTGTACAAGGAAGTTTCCTACGCTCCCCCTGTGTACAAGGAAGATTCCTACGCTCCCCCTGTGTACAAGGAAGTTTCCTACGCTCCCCCTGTGTACAAGGAAGATTCCTACGCACCTCCTCCCCCTGTGTACAAGATTCCTACGCACCCCCTCCCCCTGTGTACAAGATTCCTACGCACCCCCCCCCTGCGTTCTCAAAACACAATTATTCCAACTGAATAACAAGGAAATACTTAAAATTGGTAATAAAATTTGTTTTGACCAAGATTAGTTCCCCCTCATACAGGTTGATTTTACTCTCATACACCATCACGCGGGATGGTTCCTCCCATACACCATCACGCAGGATGGTTTCCTCCCATACACCATCACGCAGGATGGTTTCCTCCCATACACCATCACGCAGGATGGTTCCTCCCATACAACCATCATGCAGGATGGTTTCCTCCCATACACCATCACGCGGGATGGGTTTCCTCCCATAACACCATCACGCAGGATGGTTCCTCCCATACACCATCACGCAGGATGGTTCCTCCCATAACACCATCACGCAGGATGGTTCCTCCCATAACACCATCACGCAGGATGGTTCCTCCCATACACCATCACGCAGGATGGTTCCTCCCATACACCATCACGCAGGATGGTTCCTCCCATACACCATCACGCAGGATGGTTCCTCCCATACACCATCACGCAGGATGGTTCCTCCCATAAAACCATCACGCAGGATGGTTCCTCCCATACACCATCACGCAGGATGGTTCCTCCCATACACCATCACGCAGGATGGTTCCTCCCATACACTATCACGCAGGATGGTTCCTCCCATACACCATCACGCAGGATGGTTCCTCCCATACACCATCACGCAGGATGGTTCCTTCCATACACCATTACACAGGATGGTTCCTCTCGTGCACCATCACGCAGAATGGTTCCTCTCATACACCATCACGCAGGATGGTTCCTCTCATACACCATCACGCAGGATGGTTCCTCTCATACACCGTCACGCAGGATGGTTCCTCATACACCGTCACGCAGGATGGTTCCTCTCATACACCGTCACGCAGGATGGTTCCTATCGTACACCATCACACAGGATGGTTCCTCTCATAGACCATCACGCAGGATGGTTCCTCTCGTACACCATCACGCAGGATGGTTCCTCTCGTACACCATCACGCAGGACGGTGGTTCTGTCATACCATCACACAGGATGGTGGTTCTGTCATACACCACGCAGGATGGTTGTCATACACCACGCAGGATTGTGGTTCTGTCATATTCCATCACGCAGAAGGGTGGTTCTGTCATACACCACACAGGATGGTGGTTCTGTCACATTCCATCACGCAGGATGGTGGTTGTCATACACCACACAGGATGGTGGTTCTGTCATACACCATCACGCAGGATGGTGGTTCTGTCACATTCCATCAGGCAGGATGGTGGTTCTGTCATACACCACACAGGATGGTGGTTCTGTCATACACCATCACGCAGGATGGTGGTTCTGTCACATTCCATCACGCAGGATGGTGGTTCTGTCATACACCACACAGGATGGTGGTTCTGTCATACACCATCACGCAGGATGGTGGTTTCTGTCACATTCCATCAGGCAGGATGGTGGTTCTGTCATACACCACACAGGATGGTGGTTCTGTCATACACCATCACGCAGGATGGTGGTTCTGTCACATTCCATCACGCAGGATGGTGGTTCTGTCATACACCACACAGGATGGTGGTTCTGTCATACACCATCACGCAGGATGGTGGTTCTGTCATTAACCATCACGCAGGCTGGTGGTTCTGTCATACCACACAGGACGGTTCTGTCATACACCACGCAGGATGGTGGTTCTGTCATTAACCATCACGCAGGATGGTGGTTCTGTCATTAACCATCACACAGGATGGTGGTTCTGTCATACACCATCACGCAGGACGGTGGTTCTGTCATACACCATCACACAGGATGGTGGTTCTGTCATAAACCACACAGGATGGTGCTTCTGTCATTAACCATCACGCAGGCTGGTGGTTCTGTCATACACCACACAGGATGGTGGTTCTGTCATAAACCATCACGCAGGCTGGTGGTTCTGTCATACACCACACAGGATGGTGGTTCTGTCATATACCATCACACAGGATGGTGGTTCTGTCATATACCATCACAAAGGCTGGTGGTTCTGTCATACACCACACAGGATGGTGGTTCTGTCATATACACATCCACACAGGATGGGGTTCTGTCAAAATACCATCACAAAGGATGGTGGTTCTGTCATACACCATCACACAGGATGGTTCTGTCATACACCATCACACAGGATGGTGGTTCTGTCATACACCATCACGCAGGCTGGTGGTTCTGTCATACACCATCACACAGGATGGTGGTTCTGTCATATACCATCACACAGGATGGTGG